TTGCCTTTTATATCCGCAAAGTGCGAAGCATGCAGTTGTTTTGTTCTTGTAACTATAACGGTGTGTTGTTTACATGTTTTTATTATTGTTCTGGTGTTATTATTTTGTATTACATTTGGTGATGGGTTTTAATACTTGCTTTATTAATTTTGTTATTGTTTTATTCTAATTTTTATGTTGTGACGTGAAATTTGCGAGCTATAAATTTTATGTTACAGTAAAAGTCCTCTAGCCTATATGACTCTGTGGAGTCCAAGTTTGGGATTGTGCAAAAAATCTTATAATAGATATGATGCAAAGGTTCCAAAGTACTTAGAGCAACAAAAATTAATATATAATTAAAATATTTAACACAAATTAACTAGTGTAATTTTTTATAAAAGTTTTTTATAATTTTATGTATTAAATAAATGATCTAAGCCCGATAATAAACAAAAAATGTATAATTTGGTATATATTTTTGCCATAATAATGTTTTTCCAAATAGATATATGTACATGTATTAGTTAATATAAATTATTAGAAACTTTATATATATGAATATTGAAATGTTATGAATACAATGGTTATTACTAAATACATACCGTCAGAGTCATAAGTCTACAAGCAGGCACTACAAGGCACTACAAAAAACTTTGTTTGAAAATATTTTCCAAAAAAATAAATTTATTGGAAACATATTTTATTGTTTTATTATAACATTCAATGCACAATGTTTTTGCGAAGTTTCGTTGCATTTCTGCAAAAAACAGCCGAGATACTCATTTATCATAATGAGTATCAAAACAAGCGATCAAAAGTCTACAAGCACTTGTTATTTCTTCAGTTTTAAGGCGAGTTAAATGTTAATTTGTAAAAATTTGGATTGCGTCTTATTGTGTTTGTGGTAATTAATTATAAAATTGCAAAAAATTGCATTCTGCTTAAAATATTTACTACAGACTGGCAATGGTGTCTCACCGGAAAGAAATAAGCGTCGTAGAAAGAAAAATCATCATAAAATTATGGGAGGAAGAGAAGTCGAAGCGAAAAATTGGACATTTGTTTGGAAGATCGCACTGTTCAGTCCATACCGTGATCAGAAATTAGATAACTACCGGAATTATCATGTCAAAAACGCGTTCTGGTCACCTATCGAAACTCACTCACCGTGAAATCCGCTTAATATTAAATTCAGTAAAGAAAAATCAACGTTTGCGGGCATTGGAAATTGTACGTAATGTACAGGAAAGAAAAAATATTTTCGTGGTTACTGCACGCAGAATTTTGAAATGGGCCGGTCTTCATGGTAGAATAGCACGAAGGATGTCTTACATATCTTTAATTAATCGAAACAAGCGCATTGCTTTTTAAAATAAATATGTATGCCGGCGGAGTTTTAAAATAATGTGCATAACTCCGACGAATCCAATTTCTGTGTTTCTAGCATTCAAGGATGTAAATTAGTATGGCGTAAGCGAGGTGAAGTATACAATAAACAAAGTCTTTTCCCAACTGTAAAATATGAAGATGGTGCACTGGTGCTCTGGGTTTGTATGGCAGCTAAAGGTACGGGAAATGTTAAGTTTGTGGAAACAACAATGAATAGAGATATTTATCTAAACATTTTGAAGAGTTATATGAGATGGATTTTACTTTCAACAGGACAATGATCCTAAATATACAACATATATTGTGCGTCTTTGATTGCTATATAACGCTCCAAAACTGCTGAATACATATGCCTCCACAATCACCGATTTTAAATTCAATTGAACATTTATGGATATTTATGAAAAGATAAACTTGTAAATATTCAATTTCGACCAAACAGCATCTGAAAGACATAATCCTAAAAGAATGGGGCGAAATAACAACTCAGGAGACCAGTAAACTTGTAGTTTCGATGAAAAACCGTCTAGTGCAAGTTCTTAAGCATCACGGTCACCCAACTAGTTACAAAATTACATAAAAAATAAGGAATTTTACACTAAAACTTTGCCTTATACTAAGTGTTTGTAGACTTTTGATCGCTTGTTTTGATACTCTTTATGATAAAAGTACCGTTATCTCGAATGTTTTTTGCAGAAATGCAACGAAACTTCGCAAAAACATTGTGCATTGAATGTTATAAAAAAACAATAAAATATGTTTCCAATAAATTTATTTTTTTGAAAAATATTTTCAAACAAAGCTTTTTGTAGTGTCTGCTTGTAGACTAATGATTCTGACTGTATATGTACATATATCACATAATATTTGTTGAATAATAATATTTCATTTTTGTTTATTACCATACTTAACATATTTATTTTGCTATAAGGTGTAATAGTGTCTTCACTACCAAACAACATTTTAATAGCATTTATACTATAAAACAAATTAATTAATTAGTTACTGAAAGCGCTTACTAACTTTATTTAAATCAAATCTCATATATTTGTATGGGGCAAATATACATACATATGTACATTTTTATCAAAAACAGCTATGCATACATTAAATAAAATTTTACTATACGTTTTTCGCGAACCATAATGTGCTATGTTTACTGTTGATTGATATTTTTTTTTTGTTTTTCTTTAAATTTAATAATTTTATTTGCAATTGGTCCATAACAATACGCAAATCTTACAGTTTTAATAACGGCATCATAAATTAATTCGACAATGCCAATAAATACAAAATTATATTATATAATTGCAACGTTAAAAGTTAAAATTTTATGTTTTGTATATTATAATATACAGTATGTCAAAAATGAGTTTACACATTGTAAATAAAATTCACTTTTTTGACTTAAAATCACAAAAATATTTCTATTTGTTTATATATAAAAGCTTTTTAAGATCAATTTTTGTATTATATTTGATATATTGCTCCCTTTTTATATGAAATTAATTAACTTTTACATGTCATTATTGCTTGGTATTAAATTCCACTTTTATAGTGTTTAAATTTTAAATGATCTCTGGGTTTTTCGTTGCCTTCTTTTTTTTAAATTAAATATTTTATTTTATAAAATACTTAATTTGGACGATTGGGTTAGAATATATACCATATTACACAAGTCCATATCCTAACCATATTTGCTTTGTACTTTGAGTTATTATAGTGACGAAATTCAAACCGCGGCTTTTACTTTTGATAGCCCATAGAAATATATTCACAATTCCTATCGAACTACATTCTAAACTACTTTAATATTTTAGGGTATTCTTATAAGCGGAATCCCCAACTCTTCTGCTTGAAATGAAGCCCTGAATGGTAATATGTAATTTTTAAAATTTATCACGAAAAGTGGCTTTTAGTTTAATTATAATGTAAATGTTTTAAATCATGGTCTGGTAGGTCTATCATTAAAGCACAATACAATTTATGACTCATGGGAGATTTTAACAGCATCTCAATATTTAGCAAACTGTGAAAACAACATAGTAGTTGACAAGAAATATTTTACAATGTTTTGGGCAAAACGCAAACAATTTCTAAAACAAACTTTTGATAAGTGTTTGTTCCGCGTTATGGCCGGTCAACAATATATTATTCCCTCAGTACCATAGTATAGAATCTATACTATAGATCCTGATTAAAATTTCCCGATTATTTCTTATTTTCGTTATGACAACATATTCTGATTATGCAGTGAATGTTTACTTAATGCCAATTCTATAATTTGGCTCTAATTTACTCTCGCGTTCAGCTAGATTTAAAATATTATAAATAGACATACATACATATGTACATATTAGTAAAATATTTCTGAGAGCTTTGGCTCACTTTTTCCTTAAATAGCGGGTATAATACATGGACTATTCCACTCCAAACGATAACGTTTCATCTTGCATTTTAAAATATTGATATTTTAGCTAGTGCAGTGAAAAAATAAAAAAACAATAACTAATTAGGTTACAATGTCTCAGAGAAGAATCAATGCAAAGCGTCAATTACGGTAAATATACCCTAAATCGTTTAAATGATGCAGAATAACACGAAGTGTGAACAGTAGTGTGAAGATGTAGGATTTGTGTTTGTTATATTTTACGTTCCTTTTTCAATATTTTGTACATTTATTTTATGTTTATATTATTAATATAGATATTAAAAAATATTTCAAATAAAAAACATATGTACTAAAACAAAATGTTGTTTTTTGAATAAGAAGTTCAAAAAAACCAAATTTTTTGGAATGTGTTAACTCATAATTGACTTACTATATATTCCGTGATGTTATTTTCTATTTAGAAGTTCAGTTGAGCCTTTCTTGAGTCTCCTAAGTTATCTTTCGCTGTTAACAAGTTCCCCCACTTTTACTTATTTCGTTACTTATTTTGAATCATGATGAATCTAGTGTTTTGCTTCAAATATTTGTATGATATCGATGTTTCTTTTTTCAGGTAAACACCACAATTGAATTCCGCATTTCGAAATCGTATTAGTTTTTCTTTAAGATCCGCATATGTATACTCTGAAGCAATGATGGTATTAGCATTTGTCGCACGGTCTATAGTATACCCGACTTTACTATTTTTATTTTATTCTGGAGTTTATTTATTACTTATTACTTATACTTAAATCTGTTTCCAAATTTAGTTCAAAATAACAAACAATAAACAATAAGTTAAAAACTATACCTATACATACGTATAAGCAACTACAGTAAGATTATGCAGTCGAGGTTGTAGGCAGCTGGTGCAATTGTTGTCACTATCTTAATTCCTATTCATGGCCCTGTCCATGTGTTTTGGTTTGTGGAGTTCTGCTCTTAATAATGTTAATTACCAAATTTAGCTTAATAAAAGCAGTGCAAAAAATTCATTGGAAAATTTAGTATAACTGAATAAAATTTAATTTGCTAATATCTTCAATTTATTATACAATATCCTATCATTAACCCAATTTTAATTAAACATTGAAAGCCTTTCTCAAAATAACATCAAATTAACGCGTTTTCATTATTACACATATTATCGATTTCAAATTATTTATAGATAATATCTAGAAATTTTTTTTAATCTTACCTTTAGACCTTTGGCTCGATTAATTGCCCGTAGGGGTCGTAAAACTCTAAGAACACGTAGTATTTTCACGACTGAGATCGCATTCGAACTGAAAAGAAATAATATTATATGTATTTTAATATAGTTTTATTGGTAAGTAACATATATTTAGAAAAATACCTGAAACCAATTGATATAAGTGAAACGCATACCACAAGTAAGTCCAAAAGATTAAATGCTGATCTGCAAAAGGCCCCATCATGAAAGATGAAGCCATATGCAATCAATTTTAATAACAGTTCTATTGTGAAAACAGCCGTGAAAAAGTAGTCGAACTTATTGAGCACCTTTAATAAGTAAAGAAAAAGTTTAACATATTATAAATAAATTATAATTTTAAAAATTTTGTACTTATATATTTCATTTGTATTATTAAAATGTGTTTATTGAGTTTCTCTTCATTAAAAACAGATAAAAGCAATTGTGTTACTCTTTATGTGTTATTAAAGTAGAAATAAAGTTTAAATAAATAGTTAGCTTCATCATATATGTATATATTATGAACTAATTATATTGCCTCATATTTTCCTTTTGGTTAAATACCTTAAAAAGAATTTAACAAAAAAACGCAAAATTTTAATTTTTAATAATTTTCTTTATTATCGCCTCCAAAATACTCTCCTCCTGCAGCAATACATGCATGCCAACGCTTGATGCAATTTTCCATACAAGTTTTATAGGCCGCCGAAGGTATGCCCTTTAGTTCACGCAGCGAATTCGGTTTAATAATATCTATGGTCTCAAAACGCGTTTCTCGCAATGGCAATTTGAGTCGGGGGAAGAAGAAAAAGTTACAGTACGGTGTTTATCATCAATATTGATGGAGTTTTTGGCCAAAAACAGCGACACAACCAACGCTGTGTGAGCCGGTGCGTTATCGTTGTGTAAAATCCTTGAGTTTTCATTCCACATTCCTTGAGATGTGGAGAAAATGTTCAGCCAAGTCAAAGTTGACGGGAGGCATAGGCAATGGCATAAGCTACTCTGGCGGGAATCTTTCGATCAACCCATCTCACTAAAAAGCAAGTGCTTAGTGATGCTGCAAAATAATATGATCCAATTGGCACGTTAGCACCAGTCATCATCACGGCTAAACTTTTCATACAAATACTCTGGCAGGCAAAATTAGTGTGGAATGATCTATTATCTTTTGAACTATTGCAAGAATGGGTCATATACCGAAGGCAGCTGTCATAACTGGAGGCAGTGCGAATACCGCGTTGGATAGGCATGCAACCCGGAGATGATATACAACTTCATGGCTTCTGCGATGCTAGTGTCAAGGCGATGGCTGCAGTACTCTATTTGGCAACAAACCACGATAGCAATATCGCTAGTCAGATCATCGCATCAAAAACTAAGGTGGCACTATTACATTCGGTAACAATACCGCGAGTGGAACTTTGCGCTGGCGACCCTTTTACACGAAACAAGGCAGGCTTTGCATCTGGAGCATGTACCATACACTCTATACTCGACTCAATTATTGCTCTATGTTGGCTACGCAAAAACACGTCACAATTAAAGCAGTACGTTGCTAAATACGTTGGTTGCATTCAATAGATGACAGATATCAGGCGTTGACATCACATTGAAACTCAACCCAGCTGATTGCGTCATTCATGGCATATCCTCTTTGGCTTTGTTTAACTACACATTATGGTGGCATAGCCTTAATTCAACTGACTATCCAATCGAAGCTTCACAACTGTGCACCAACAGAGCTGGAAATAATGAAATGCGATTATGAAGGCATGACAATATTTCAACCCGCACAACAGACACACTACACTTTTGACGATGAATTGGTCGTCATAGATCTATTGGACCGGTTCAATCATCTTGGCAAACTATTGCGCACTATTGCATACATATTGCGTTGCAAAAAGGAATATCAGCGTTTTCGCTTACATATACACATCTGTACAGGCGAAATGGACATTGCTTTAAATCACCACATCAAGACAGAACAAGCGAAATATTTCGCAGTGGAATTTACGCAGCTGCAAAACGCGCAGCCTATTTTCAATTCTACCAAGCTCATTGAACTGAGTCCGTTCATCAACTCCACTGCGGACAATATATTGGCGGTAGGCGGACGCCTACATAATGCGAGGGTTACAGAGGCACAGCGTCATCCAATCATTCCTTCTAAGGATAGCACATTGGCTAGGCTTTTAATATGTCAGGTGCATTAAGATGACTTCATGGCGGCATACAGTTTATGCTGCATACTATTCGACACAGATATTGGATTCTGCAGGCATGCATTTTGATCAAGTAATGCATACACTCATGTGCGACTTGCAGATGGCATAAACACATAATGCTAAAAAATCGTTTGGCGACATCAACAAAGACTCGGGTCACCATATCTCCCCCATTTGCATGATTTGGCTTAGACTATTGCGGTCCATTCAACATACGAATTGGCTCCAAGGCTGTACAAACAGTATGGAAGGCTTACGTGGCAATCTTTGTGTTCATGGTAACCAAGACAGTGCACATCGAATTGGCTGAAGATCTCACTTCTGCGGTATATACCCATTTCGTAAACCGGCGTATGCAATGTAACCACTTATACGGTGACAATGGCATTACCAATGGCATTCATTGGCGCAGATCGTTTAATGGCTGTTGACTTACAGGCTTGGCATAATGAATATTCTCAACAGCAGTTGACACAAAATGGCATTTTCTACCACCTGGGACACCACATCAAGGTGGTCTATAGGAAGCTGCCGTTAAGTCAGCAAAGAAACACTTACTACGCATTGTTGGCACTTATTCAATTTACTATGATTGGCTACATACTCTACTTGTGCACGTCAAGGCTTGCTTGAACTCATATCCGCTCATACCATTGCACGACACTTGTGACGACAAGATGGCTTTATCACCTGCAGATTTCCTGATCGAAAGATCTGTACTGGCAGTACCAGATGAACCTATTGGCAAGGTAGCTAGCAACAAATTGTCATACTGGCGGCAAATAAGACATATGCAGTAGCATTTTTGGCGACAATGGCACGATGAATATCTTTCAACTTTGCAACCACGTTCCAAATGGCATCAAAATGGTGACCACTTCAACATAGGCGATGTCGTGGTTATTCGGTACGAGAATCTACCAGCAACATATTGGCGGCTTGGCAGGGTGATCAAAGTTTAATCAGGCGAAGATGGGAAGAAGTCACAACCAATCATACAGCTGGCGAATGCATGCGACCTATCCAGAAGATGTACAAGCTTGTGAAGCATCCTGAACGTACCCGTCCAGCTGTACAGGATGTTTGAGATTTGACATAACAACCAGACAGTATGGCATCACTGATCTAATGATTTTGACAGTAGCATTGTAACATCTAGAAAACAATAACTTTTGGGTCCGTTTTTGTTTTTTTCATTCTTTCTTTTCTGATGTTGGTGAAGTGTGTACGTTTTCTATCGTGGCGTAGCTGATTTATACAAAGTGTTGTATTTTAAAAATTGTTATCAAATAAAGAAATATTATATTTGCGTATATGCAATTATTGTCTTTTGCTTTTTTCGTACTCTTTTATACAATAGTAAATTTGCTGTATAGTTAGTGTTTTCGTTATTTGACACCTAATGCCACTGCTCTGATTTTGCTGATACGTATACTCATCATGGCAACTTTAGTTCAAGTCATGGAATTGATATAAGACGATTCGGCATAGTTCGGGTTTGTAGTGAAGTTCTCTTGGGCTGACAGTTTATAAATAGGCGGCGCAGAATGCTGTTTCCTTTATATCACTCATGACATGTAACTCAATACTTGAAGTAAAAACAATATTCTTAGAATAGCATCGACCAATCTTGAGATGTTTCAGCTTTTTAATCCCGAGACCACCATGCTATCAGAAATCCATGAATGGAACCATGTATAGGCTCACCCAAAGCTATATGTCTCGACTCGTTATATAATATGTCATAATCCATATGAATCGAGTACGATCAGTGTGATGGTGACAGAATCAAACGCTTTGTAGCAATTCGTAGACTTGTGCTATTTTTTTCCACATTGTTTGATAAGTCCGAACCGCTTTATCAGGCAGGATTTTAGCATAACTCTTTGTGAAGTAGTTACTTATTTCTGCTCTGTATCGAAACGTAAATTATAGATAACTATAATTTTTTCAGTTGTTTTAAAACGGGTTTCGCTATCTAGACCTGTTCTATAGATTTGACTCTATTGTCTTCCGTCATAGATAGGTTTTTAGCGCCTACTACCACTAGTATTGATTACAGTAATACATTTCTATAAGACTTGAAACTCAAGTTTGCGCTTATAGATGCCGTGACATGTGCACGGCTTATATATATATTTTTACTATATTATAGATAATTTTTGCAAAAAGACGGATGAAAACTAGACTGCTCGAAATATACAAATACATTTCGATTACGTGTGAACACCTGAAGTCCAGATTAGCGTGTGCAAAGCAGATCCTTAATGCTCCAAAGGCAGACAAAAAACAATCTGCATCGAAGTGACACTGTTCATTGGATAAGTCAGCTTATGCAATGAACTCTTATTTATAATAAAAAATATAATGCTCTCTTACTTTCGCAATATAGTAACGGAGATCAAACCGCAGTAAAAATTGAAAGCTCCTGAGGTCAAATATGGGCAGTATCCTCATATTTGACGTATGACCATATTGCAACATGATTAGATATCCTAACACAGCTAACAAGCGGCGCCAGGAGACTTGATGTGAAGCTGATAACAAGCTGTGATGCCAATGCTCATCATGATGTATAGGACAGTTTACAGAGTCGTAAATAAAATTACAAGCGATATTGACTCAAAACAGTGTATTTAGATGTCGCAAATGGATAGCGTTTGGCTTGGGAATCTACTAACCAAACTATTCCAGCTTTTTCCAACAAACTTTTACCTCATAATAAAGAGCTAACTACAAATCTCTGAACTAAAATAAATGCAAGCTATTATGCCTCAACGAAGCGTACTAGTTCCATTTGTTGTGTATCTAGGTGTTTAAATTTCACTGTCATAATACCTAAAAAACCAACACACGTCGTCTCTACAAGCCACAAGCATATAATATGACATTATAATCAGCAAAAATTGCCGGTTTGCAACTATTTACCTATACTTGAACTATTTATATTTTATAACTATATTTATATTTATATCATTTGCTAATTAGTGTTACACAGAGTTAAATTTTATTTAACCTATTATATTTTATATATTATAACGTTGTGTGCATATATTTTTTATGGTACTTCTTTATATAATAAAAGAAATTATAACCTTTTATAATTTTTTATTATTACATTAAAATTTTTATTTTATTATCATCAATTGCCATATACTAATACTTAATGTAAAACTCACTTTATTCCTATCAGCGTCCGATCGAAGTGGGTCTTCTGCAGCCAACATAGCAGACGAAAACATTATACAACATAAAATTATGTTCCCGAAATTGCTATGATTGCATAGCCAATGGCAAAATATTCGAAACCTTTAAACAAAATATTAAATGATGATTTAATAATATTTTTTTTAAAAATTTGTATTATATGCACATTAATATGTATATAAAATTAATGTATGAATATAAAAATGATAAGATTAATTTGTATGCAACTTATGTAATACTATTTTATAATTACAGTTTGTACATTACAATATGTATAAACTACTGATTTTAAATGTGGCATTATTTTAAAACATTTGAACAGCGACACAGATCGCAAAGCTTTAACATTACTTGGGTCACTTTTTACATTTCAAGCCTTTGCAACAGTCTGTGGCGTTCACTTTGCCATCTATCGGTAAAGTAAAACCAAAAATGATCTTCTTTTGTATGGATAAGCAACCAACTTCAAGGAGACGGAAGTAAAAAATAAACTAGTTAATCAGCAATCAATTAGTGTGTTTTAATTTAATTTGTATAAACTTATGGAATAACAGCCATAAATTGGTGACCCCTACAAAAACAATCACGCAAACTTAAAAAACAGAAAAAACGCAAAATGCAGAAAACAGGCGAAATTGAACGTGCAGAGACTCCCGCAGAAACAAATAAATTCCAGCCTATGGAAGCGGAAGCGTCGGCAGTGCAAACGATTGGCAAACTTTATGGTTTGCACAAATTGAAGGCCTTCTTCATATGAGCCAAGTCACGGCAGATTTATCAAAGTTTTACACAGTAATTACTGCGCTGGATGCAGAAACGCTGCAACAAGTTGCAGATATTGCAAAAAATCCTCCTGAAACAGGCAAGTACGACAAATTAAGAAAAAAACTAATTTCTCGTTTTTCCGAGTCGTCAGAAAAGCAGCTCATAAAGCTGCTCACTGGTCTGGAACTATCAAACAAAAAACCAAGCTAACTGGTACGTGAAATGCGCACGTTAGCAGGTGCAAATATCCCAAAGGAGGCATTAACAACACTGTGGCTGCAACGGATGCCAAACAATATAAGATGCATTCTATCAGCATGCAAAACCACAAGTGTAAATGAGTTAGCAGAAATAGCTGATAGAATATAAGACAACAGTCCAGTATCGTCTTACGTAATGGCTACAAACGCCAACAAATTGAATGACGCATTGGAATCCCGCGTAACAACCTTAGAAAGTTCGATCCAACAACTAAGACAGCAGCTAGTCAAGATATCAGCAACTTTAGACAGATTGGAAAAACGAGACAGTCGTTGTAGTGACAACAGCCACAGCCGCAACAGTTCGTGCAAACGTGAGAAGGTCTGTTACTACCACATAAAATTTGGGGCAGCAGCGACCAAATGTAGCCAACCGTGCGAATTTGGCAATTGTAAGAGCAATAACCAACAGGAAAACTAGCGAGGCTGCCGTCATCAAACACGGTTGGCGACAGCATAACAAATCAAGAGCTACGATTACATATTTATGACCGAAAAAACAACATTAACTTTTTAATTGATTCTGGGTCAGCTATTTCACAACTTCCAATACCAGGAATTAACCCAAAAAATAAAATGCAACCAGACGATCTAGTTCTTTATGCAGCGAACAACACTGCAATCAAAACATTTGGCAACAAGCAACTAGCAATAGATTTAAACCTTAGAAAAGACTTCAACTGGTATTTCATCATCGCTGATGTAAAAACAGCCATAATTGGGGCAGACTTTTTCACACACTACGGCTTACAAATCGATCTGAGGACAAAATCGCTCATTGATACGCAACCACATTACAGTCAAAGGGTCTACTGAAAGAAGTAGCCCACGAATATGTTTCGACAATCAATATGTTGACACAACAAAATTAAACAGGTACCAACTACCAACAACAGACAGCGTTCAACACAGAAACATAACAAATTACCAGCCAATATAAGAACGCTCACATCGTTTTTCAGGTGAAAAATTAAAAGCAATCAAAGATGAGTTTCGTGTATTACTACATCAAGGCATAGTGAGGCCATCCAGTGGCCCCTGGGCAAGTCCCATACATTTAGTAAAGAAAAAAACGGGTGGATAGAGAGCTTGTGGTGACTACCGAAAATTAAACGCCCACACCCAACCTGATAGCTACCCAATTGCGCACATTGACGACATAGCCGAAAGACTGCACGGCAGTAATATTTTCTCTAAGATTGATATCACTAAAGCATATTACAACATACCAATGAATTCAGATGATATTGTTAAAACAGCGGTAAGCACACCAATAGGTTTCTTTGAATACGTCGTGATGCCATTTGGTCTAAAAAATGCCACACAGACTTTTCAGCGATATATGCATTCAACATTTCGTGAATTAGACTTCGTGTTCTGTTACTTAGGTGACATTCTAATATTTTCGAATAATGACGCCAAATATAGAGAACATATTGAATGTGTCCTTCAAAAACTAAAAGCTGCTCGATTGGTAATCAACAGTTCGAAATGCGAATTTGGCGTAGAAAAACTCACATTTCTTGGATACAAAATATCAGCGACAGGATTAAATCCCCCACAAGAACGAGTTGAAGTGATTAAAAATTTTACAATGCCAAGCAACATAATGGAACTTCGACGTTTCCTGGCCATTATCAATTTCTACAGAAAGTGTGTTCCTAAGGCAGCACAAATGCAAGCGACACTAAGTAGTCTCTTCAAAACTTCAATAAAGAATGATAAACGAAAAACTGTTTCGACCGATAACTTAAACAAGCTTTCCAACAATGTAAAGATGGTATAATCAAAGCGACTAAGCTCACATTTTTAGCACCTGACGCACCCATGTGTGTAACCACAGATGCATCAGATGTAGCAGTGGGCGCGCACCTACAACAACTGAGTGGCGAGACATGGCTCCCGATAGCATACTTCTCGTGCAAACTGAAACCATCACAAATCAAATATTATAGCACTTATTATAGAGAGCTACTAGCTGTATATCTAGTAATAAAACACTTCAGGCATTTACTGGAAGGTCGAACCATCATAGTAAAAACAGATCACAAGCCACTAATTTATGCTTTTCATCAAAAAATGGACAAGGCGTCCCCTCGGCAACTGCGTCATCTAAATTACATTGCGGAATTCACGACGGACATTAATTTTGTAGCCGGAAACGACAATATAATAGTAGATAACATACATTATCCAGAATAAGCCAGATAAACATGCCGTTAACAATTACCACGGAAGAGATAGCAAAAGAACAGAGCACTGACACAGAAGTAAAGCAAATTCTAAACGGCCTGTCGTCACTAAAATTGCAAGAGCTAGTGTATCCGAATGGCGTTAAAATTTTTTGCGACACTTCTACTTTTACAGTTCGTCCTTTCATTCCTCAAACCTTAAGACGAAGAATATTCGACACAGTTCACAACTTATCCCATTCCGGAAACAGAGCAACAAAAAAACAAATAAGTCAGAAGTATGTTTGGCCATCGTTAAAAAAAGACATCACGCATTGGACTCGAACCTGCATTGCATGTCAAAAATCAAAAATTAGTCGGCATAATCAATTTCCTCCGAAGGAATTTCAACACACAAGTCAACTATTTGACCACATACATGTAGACATTATCATAGTGCCTGAACATAAAGGGTATAGGTATTGCCTCACGATGATCGACAGGGTCACTCGGTGGCCAGAAATCGTGCTCTTAAAGGACATGTCTGCAGAAACTGTAGCAACGCAATTTTATTCAACATGGATTGCGAGATTTGGTTCTCCTAAAACTATAACGACCGACCAAGGCACGCAATTTGAATTAGTACTTTTTGAGTCTCTTGGCAAACTGATAGGTGCAAAACGCATCCGAACGACACCGTATCAAACGGGATGATAGAGAGATGGTACAGAATATTAAAAGCCGCGTTAATGTGCAGCAACAAGTTTAACTGGTTTGATACTCTACCTACGGTTCTCCTGGGTCAAAGAACAGCCTGGAAAGAAGACATAAATACCTCTGCAGCTAAAATGTTGTGTGGAACGACATTAAGATTGCCGGGTGAATTTTTCAGAGATGAATCTGACGCAGATGATCATCAGTCATTTTTATGCAAGTTTAAAGAGTTTATTCAAAACGTTAAATCAACTCCAGCAGCGCATCACATCAAGAGAAACTTATTTGTTCACAAGGATCTTTACACATGCACGCACGTATTTTTAGGCATTGATCACAACAACAAAAAACCACTCGAACCTCCATACTCAGGTCCCTTCAAAGTTATCAAACGCATTAACGACCGTCTTTTTGCAATCGAAATAAATGGAACAAACGTTAATGTCGCTGCAGAGCGATTAAAATCTGCATTCGCGGTTGAAGATCCACAGCAAACGAAGCCTCCACTGAAAACATATATAGCAATCCAGTTAAAAGGTTAGGCACCAAAAAGCAAGTGACGTTTGCAGATACAGCATCAACATTTCCATCGTGACTAGCGCACTGAGGAGGGAGTAGCTGTGGCGTTCACTTTGCCATCTATCGGTAAAGTAAAACCAAAAATGATCTTTTTTTGTATGGATTAGCAACCAACTTCAAGGAGACGGAAGTAAAAAATAAACTAGTTAATCAGCAATCAATAAGTGTGTTTTAATTTAATTTGTATAAACTTATGGCATAACAGCCATAAGTCATTGTGTTCAGGTGGCATCTGAAGTTTCCTTAGACTTTTTGTCAAAAAAGTCTAATAGTATGTTATTTGTGTTATTTACAGAGATTTGCAAATTGAGTGTTTGAGAAAAAATTGAATTAACGCGAGGAAATGTTTCTGCGATGATTTACCATATTACGACTATCGACGTCAATTACGAGCATCAAGACAAGAGTGCATCGATCAATTTACTTCCACATTTGGCGATGAAGCTCCATTGCTTGAATTTAAAGTATTTGCGTATATTTGGATCCAAAGATGTAGCTCACCGAAGTAAAAACGAACGAGTAAATTTGGTGCCAAAGCACTTCGGAGAAAATACGGACCTCAATTTGTTGAATAACGCACTCTTATGAAAATTTTTATGAGTAATAATTGCAG